CGAACCCCGCCCTGCACAATTTCTTTTGCTTTTTGCACAAAAACAAATGATTTTTGCATAAAAATCGCGCTTTGACCTCTAAAACTGTAATCGAGCCATTTTTAACGTCGGAGATGACGACAACTTAAAAAAAACGCAAAAAATCCAGATTTTGTCAATTTTTATAGTATAAAGGTCGAATAACTTTTGAAATAAAGGTCGGCAGCAAATTTGGAAATCAGATTCGAAATCAGCGGAAAATTCTGCACAAGATAGGCTTGGTCCCATTCTAAAAAGCCAGCCTGAGTAAAAACACTTTACAGTAAGAGAGACTGGTTGGGCGAGTCAATCTAGCTGGCTGTCAATTCATACAAAGCAGCCTAGCAGAGACCATTTGGGAGGTAATTTTTGACACCGTTGCAGACTATGCTATTGACTTAGGGTTCCGCCTATCGTAACCCAGAGTGCCGTCAATCGTACTATTTCGCTGCATTTTGGGGTTTTCCCCCTAAACACTTGAAGCTCTGTGCCTGAAATTCGAAAGAGTCTTGCTAGCCTCCGGGTAGATTCGAGTATTCCATTTGGCTGTTGACTTTTGTATGATAGTCCATGACAGCGCTGAGATCCAGAACCAAAACAGAAAAGTCAACAACCGTTTATTAGCTGGCACAAAATCAGTCGGGGGGCGGAACATTTAGCACAGACGCTCTGGGATGATATGTATGGGATAAATTGCGGCCAAAAAAAGTTCATTTGAATTCGGTTTTATTAACGCATTAGTCCCTGCACTTTTTGCCAAGCTTAAAACTCAGCATTTCGGTCGTGGCGTCTAGCACCTTGTTTAGAGTCCTTTCATACACGCCAACCATCAAATCAACAACTTTCTTATCTAACGGACTGCTGCCGCGTTTCTCACGAAGCGTATGCCGAAAGATGGCGCGAATCGAGGGCAAATGCTCATCCAAATAGTGAATGCCATCAGCTACATTCTTTTCATAAAAGAAAGAGTTGTCAAGGCATCCTCTACCGGAACGGGGCTCCTTCAGATTATAGTATGCCTCGGGGTCCTGCGTCGATTCCAGCTCGGCCGCCGTCGGCTCCGTATCATTGCATTTGCCCCATGGTCCTGAAGTAGAATTTCTTTCTCTCGCTCTCTCTCTCTCTCTGTCTCTCGCTCTCCATGTCTCTCGCTCTCTCTCTCTGTATCTCTCTCTGTCTCTCGCTCTCCCTGTCTCTCGCACTCCCTCTCTGTCTCTCACACTCTCTCTTTCGCTCTCTCTCTCTCTCTCTCTCTCTGTCTCTCGCTCTCTCTCTCTCTCTCTCTCTCTCTCTCTCTCTCTCTCGCTATCTCTCTGTCTCTCTCTCTCTCTGTCTCTCGCACTCCCTCTCTGTCTCTCGCACTCTCTCTCTCGCTCTCTCCCTGTCTCTCGCTCTCTCTCTCTCTCTCGCTCTCTCTATTTCCCAGATCTGGAAATGTCGAGCTTTAGAGGGGCTCATAAGCCCCCAGGCCCAAGGTCATAGAGACAGAGGGCGCGCGAGGAGGCGAAAGAGAGCGAGAGAGGGAGAGTGCTGATGGCGGGGAGAGAGCGCCAGGCAGCATGACCACATCGAGCCGAATGAGATGAGACACCCTGTAGATATTCGAATCGGTCCTCATGCGTCGCATTGAAAACGGGTCGTTTGATTTAAGTTCGGCTCGATGTGGTCATGTTGCGTTTTTATTTTTGGTCATGTGGTCATTTTTAAATATGCTTGTTTCGGGCTGTAAAAAAAGCTCTTAGTATATTTTTTCGGTCCTGTGGGCGAAAATACCTGGTGCTGGAAGTTTGAGAACGGCGCGCAGCTCGGCGAGCCCGATTCCAGTGGTGCATTCCAAGACGAAGACGGTGGACATTGAACGCGCAAGATGATATTTCAGGGCATAGCCGGTCATCTCCTCGTAGTCAGCAGCATGGAGGCAGTGGCCGGAAATGTTGGCCAGCTCCGCGTCGACGTCTATTGGCGTCTCATCCAGTAGATGATGATGGTCTGGAATAGAGTGTGTCGTAATTGAATCGACTCCGCCCGCACCGGTGGATGATTTTGATGATTTTGGGGCTCCCGGTAAAGTAAGGTCTTACCAATTGGTCAACCTTTTCTTTGTCCTACCAACGGCCATTGATCCAAAGAGCCGCTTCGCGTTTTTTTAAACCTGGCGCCGTCTCGCCCCATCCATGTTTTTTCATTTTTTTTACCTCGCCCAAAACCCGCTTAGAGCGCCTTCGGCGCTGGAATCTGATTCTTGCATGAGAAATTTGACTTTCCCATGGATGCGTGCTTCGGACCCCCTCCCCTCCCCGACCAAACTCACGCGTACAACTGGCAAGAATGAGGAAATTTCTATTTTTCACTTTATGCAAATTAGCTCTCCGACGCCCCAAAATTTACTAAAACCGGCTTTAACTTTGTGAACTTGTATTTTATCGGTATTCTGAAAACGCCATCGGAAAGAGGAGGGTCGATTTCCCAGTGACGGAGAATTGAGACGTTTTGAACACGGGAAAGCCCCCAAATCGGGTCTCGCAAGTGTCAGCCGGACACACGCACACACAATTATATAAGGTAGGATTCGCTGAATTTTCGCGAATTCCGGCGACGAAAATGAAAATCACTCCTCCCGCCCCATTAACTAGACTCGCGCAGCTTCCGGTCTATGTTAATTGATTCGTAACAGAGTGGGCCTTCCACTTTTTCATAACCAACTTAATTTTAACGCCGAAAACCGCATAATTTGCAAAATCGGATACGCACTAACACACCATTGTTTATTTCGTTGGGTAGTAGACTGCCGGCATGCAAGGCGATTGGTAGAAGGAGGTAAATCACCAGGGCGACAGCCATTTTTATCTAGGAATACGTGGTTATGGAAAAAGTGAAAGAGAGAAAAAGAGAAAGCGAGGGAGAGAGAGAGAGAGAGAGAGAGAGAGAAGAGAGAGAGAGAGAGAGAGAGAGAGAGAGAGAGAGAGAGAGAGAGAGAGAGAGAGACTGATCACGGTTAAAATTGGACTTTTTGTTCGAAAAATAATTGTTTTCGAGCGCAATGAGGAAAATTCGAACATGTCTCTAGATTTTTTGAACCTTTTATATCTGAGCGCGCGGGCATTCACGGAGCGCCTTAGCACGCAAGGCTACGGTTAATGCTAAGCGTCGGGAAAAACCGAATTCTGACCATTCCGACCAGCGCCTGCGACCACTAGGCCATGGGAGGGATGGGGGTGAGCGAGAAGCGGGGTTATGCGGGGCTGGGGCCGCGACGAAGAGTGGCGGAATCGGGATGCCATTCTCAGATCCTATCCTATAAGCGAGAAAAGTATGTTTGTTTTCTGTAATGACGATTTCTCGGCCATGAGGCCGAATTTCGAGCTGATTTTTGGCATGAAGGTGGAAGAACACATTTGTCAGACACGCATTTTTTTGTTTTGCGAAATTCTTTCATTTAACGGTTTTACAAGCAAAATAGTGAAAATCCTTAACAAAATGGGCCAATGGCCGTGGTGTCCGGGGCATAACTCGCTTCGCATTTGGAATTTCGGGCTGAAATTTGGACCAGTTATGTATTCGATAGTGGGGATCACGCGCATCTTATTATCTTTACAAATTTTCTGCAGATTCAGACTAAAAAACTCAATTTTGTAAAGTGACCAGAAGGCCTCCCTTCCGGGGCATTGGGTCGGCCTTTTCTGTGCCTCCCCGCTCCCCTTTCCCCGGAACAGAAGAGGGCTTTCCCGCCGCCTGTTGCATCTACCCCATGGTGTAGTGGATTTACTCCCGGCCTACCACGCCGATGGTCGTGGGTTCGGATCCTGGGCAAATCCAACTTTTTGCTTTTGGTAGTTTAGCAACTAACCATATTTCTAGGCTCTCGGTGTGCGAGATTTAGGCCTGGCTCTCGCTCTAGCGCCGCAGGCCCAAGAGAAGCTCCTTGACCCAGGCTCTCGCGCCGCAGGCCAGATCCTGGAGAAAAACCAGTAACTAGCGCCGCAGGCTCAAAGGTTCTAGCGGAACGCTGGCTCTAGCGCCGCAGGCCAAAGAATGGCGCCATTACTAAGGTCCTTGCGCCGCAGGCTAAAAGAAGAAGGTATTCAAATTCATGATTCCTGGACGGGGTCCAGTGGAAAATGGCCGCGAAGCGGTCGTTTTTCACTGGTATGCGATAAACTACAAGTTTACAAACTTAAAGCCGATTTGCTCATTTTCGCGGGTCCCCGAGGGGTCCCCCGAAGGGTCAAAGCTATAGAAAAACCAGAGATTTACTGTAAGAAACCGACTCTAGCGCCCAAGGCCTACGAAGCGGGGTTTGGGCGCTGCTAGGGAGCAATATTGCTCAAACGAAATCCCTGCGAACGTGTATGAAGACAAGCAGCGCAGCGGCCTGACCCCATTTCCTGTGCGTTCGCTCGTATCTTCCAGATCTGCATATCGATCGTGGCCTGCATAGCTAATTGAGGGCGAGTCGGACATCGGATCCCCCCCCCAAGATCATCGGCCAGGGAACGGGGAAATTGGCGGTGATTGAAGTTTTGCTAAACTCGCCGTAATCGGAGAATCCGCCAAACACCAATTTATTATATAAACGACGTAGCCGCACCGCGCCAGGCCATCAACCCCGAGAAAAAAAATGCGAGGAAAATGAATCAACAAGAGGCAAAAAACAAAAGCAGCGAGGCAAAAAAAAGCAGGTCACAAGGTACGGTCAGAGACGCTTCGAAATATCGTTAGCGAAAATCAGGCGGCATGGGGGCCTTAGACGAGTTTTGGACGGTATTTCAAGTCGAGTAAAAACTGATTGACGCTGACGAAAGAATTCGAAATTCAATTACAAGCCGCAAGAACTTCGAAGTGCAAAAGAGAAAAGCATGACCTTTTGAGGGATTATCATCAAAATAACGGCCTAAATTTTGCACAATTTCATTTCCTGCAGCTCAATTCAGTTTTTTTAGACATTGCCGGGGTTTTTGGAGAGCGGGTGGGAAAATAAATCAGCTAGGATTTTGGTGTTGACGAGGGCGATCAGGCCGTTGAGGGCGAGCAGAGGAAGCGAGCAGATCCGGTGGCCCTTCACCATACGCATCGTAAGTCCGCATCACAGACGTCTTTTGACGTACGCTGAAAATATTCAGGTTAGATCTCGTTCCTATCCAGCGCTGGAATCCGGATTTGGGATCGGATATTCGACTTTCCGATGGCCCGGGTCCTTCCTACCTGGCCGACTAAGCATTCAGAACGAACGGTCTTTTTAAACCAAAAAAGTGAATCCGGCTTCGAGAAATATGATAAAAATCCCCATGCCGCGATTATTTTCCTTGTTAACCCTGTTTGTCTCAAGATTTGATTCCGAATTGGCCCTACAGTATGCTGGAAGAGGGGCTAGGAGGGGCCCGGAGAGGGTGACGGAGCTATGCAGGAGGGCGCGACACGTGATGTCGCCTTTCTGGCACAGCCATTCCGGAATAATGGTGTTGAAGGCCAGTAGGTGACGACCGAAGAGCTGAAAATATACTGGTTTATTTGTGTTGGCGATGAGTGCTTAATAGGTGAGCTAGGAAGTAAGCACGAACGTCTTTGAGCAAGTCCAGCGACTGTTCGCATTGGACACAACTCCATGTCCTCAGAGCGGGGCTGCCAGAACGAGTGCTGGAACCAGATCAACCATGGATGTCTCAAAAAAAAATGAGGAAATGGCCCAAAAGGCGCTTTGCCCCAGGCCGAATGGTCAGGGTTCGATTTTGCCCGACGCTTAGCACCTACTGTAACCTTGCATGCTACAGTGTCGACTATTTTAAGATCTTGAAAATTTCAACGAGAGCGAACTGTCCCTTTAAGCCTGCATTTGACAAATAATGTTGGCAAAATATCGAAAACCGAGACGGCTAACTGTATGATCTATTCGCAAAAGTTCCTAATACCGAAAGATTCGGAAAAATAAACGCTGGACACTATCCATATCAGAAGCATCGGAATATAATTTGCCAAAGGGCAATCCATTTAAAAATACTCCAATAAGCAATGCTAGAACCAAAATAATAAAGAACCCACGCGTCACTGCAGTATGACATCCAATAAGGCCCGCACTGCAAGTCCACCGGCAAACCGGTTGATCTCGCGGGGGAACATGCGCTGGACGATCTCCACCCCAATCTTCATCGCCTTCACCACCTGATCTTGGCAGCGTTGAATATTTGCCTCACCACGTAGCTCTTCGCACGCGGCCCGCGCACCGTTCCGCCCAAGTATCATGGCCCCTTCCAGCTGCTAAAAGGGTGAATGTGATGGTAATTGTGAGTTCCTAATAACCGGGCCCCGCTGATGCTTACCATTCCGAAGTCTTCAACACGGCGCGGGCATTTCGCGCACCGCTGGGCCGGCGTATCCATGTAGGCGTCGCCGGGGTTGGCGGTCCAGCTCCCCCCCCCACCATCACGACCAGGATGAATAGCTTCATCGGAACGCGCGTTCTTAAAAATTGCATGAAAACGGAAAAAACTGACACTTATACTTTATACTGAATATAATTGTTGAAAACGGGAACCCAACGATTTTAATACTGAAAATAGTTTTAAATATGGGTTTTTCGGACTATAAAGAGGTCTTTGCGTATAGAGTGTGGCAGATAAGTACCCGGAATGACTTTAAACGGCGTCGCAAAGCAAAACAATTTGGTTTTATGACTTTTTTTCGTTGTTTTTGTGCAGAGGAATGCTTGCGAAAAGTATTTTTTCGGGGACGGAGCTTGAAACAGCGCCGTGAGACATTTCACACACCAAGATCTCAACGTATGGAAAAGTTGTTTCCTAATGACAACAATTGCTAGAAAATTTTTCACAAGTTTCTCAAAGTTCAAAAGGTTAAGGCGCCATAGCTCAGTTTTCAAACTCAAATATTTTGATTTTCCGCGGTTTTGCGAATCAAACGTGCTGTAATCTTATTCTACAGGTTAAGGGCTACGTTTTGGTCCCTCTGCTACCCCTATAAGTCCAAGGATGGCCGAGATACGAAAACTCACTTTCGACCAGTAAAAATTAACAAAAGGAGACCCAGCTTTATAATTGATACGGAAAAAAAAGTTAAAACACCAACTTCTCGCTGACGGAGAATCCGAGCTGCTGTAGATGTTGTTGCTTCTTGTGGTAGTAGACCGCGATTCGTTCTTGATAATCCTGAAAAAGATACTCCAATCACGAAAAATTTAATTATGACATATGGAAAGGTAAAGTTTTTATTCTAAAATTATTCTTTGATTGCGAAAATCAGCTCAGAATCTACGGATTATGGAGGTTTTCGTAAATAAAGCTAGCAAAAATCGGCAGAGTGAGAACTCCCATCACGCAGCGGCCACTAGCAATTTGCCAGAAATCAAAGAGCCCACCCAAATGAGCATGGGTCTGGCGGTTGGGCGCCCATTTAAGTGCAGTTTGAGCGTGAGAAAAACTGGCGCTGTACTTGGAACGGGCCTTTGTCGCTCAGTCAGTTGGGGGCGTTCGGCCGTTGCGGACGTGGGCGGATTGCAACAACTTATGTTGCCATTTCCCCTCCTAGCGGCCGTCGAACAGCTGGTCCATGCGAACAAGACCCAGAGGGCTTGATCGCCTTCCCATCTGGTCAGGCGCAAAAAATGACGGGAGGCGAGGGGGGGGGTATAGAAGAAAGGAGAAGATTACTTGCGCCCTCAAAAATAGATTCACGAAATACAAGAAATCTGTCGCCGAGCCCGGCCCCCAGAACCGCGTCGCCACCGGCCGTCCGTGCCCCTTTAAGTACCAGCCATTCGAAGAAGGAATTCTGCATCAAACAAAAATTGTGCCGAAGCTGGCGCGATGGCAGTGTTGAGGCGGCGCGCTAGCCAAAACATTGAATTCACAGGCCCGCCATTCGCGTTTCGCGATGAATCTGGAAATAATGTTTCGTGTGAATGATCGTCAGAACTTCAAACCCGAATAACTTTGGACAAGATAAAATACAAAATGGGGGGTGAGGGGGATTGGTCGGCTCTGGTCCGTTCCAATCGTTCTTGGATTTTAATTCTTTAAAATTATATATAAATGGATAGGCGACCCAGAGGCAAAGGAGCGGCCTATGAAAGGATGGTGGCTGTGGAACGAAAAAGCGGGCTGGAATGCGAAATTTCCCATTTTCCGATCCATTTACGACCCCGGCAATATCAGCGCTATCGAATGATATACTATAAGATACGGTAATGATTCGGAATCTCATTTTATAAGGTGCAAAAAACGCGAAAAGATCTAAAATTTTCTTTTTTCCAGGCGATTTTTTTGGAAACCAGAGGTACTGTAGCCACGATAGCATACAATTCGAGAAACAAATCCGAGCTTTTTCGGATGACGTACTGTAAGGTACCATAGCCCCGCGGAATCTCATTTTATGAGACCTGAAAGTTGGCGGAAATTCAACATATCTGCTCTTTCGGCCGATTTGTCTCAACGGCTAGAGATACTGTAGCTATTTATAACATACCAATCGATAGAGAAGATTGAGCTCTATCTATGCTATACTTTACGCTGCCGTATTCCAGTGGAATTTCGTTTTAGAAGGTTGAAAAGTCGGGAGGTTTGGTTGGAGGTTGTTGGTCTTCATTTATCTGCGCTCTCTCTCTCTCTCTCTCTCTCTCTCTCTCTCTCTCTCTCTCTCTGTCTCTCTCTCTCTTTCTCGTTCTCTCTCTCTCTCTGTGTGATATATTTGTCCATTAATGACATGTTGACACCCCCTAGAAGGCCCACCCACAAAGCACCCCCTCGACCCCCACTTTACCCCTCGGCCAGACCAAATACTCGCACCATCTCTGCCCAAATTTCTATTCTTTGTTGTTTTAGTTCTTCTGGTTTTTTTATTTAAAGGCAAACTTGCAGAAACCATTTGAAAACAGATTTTCAATATTTTGGCCTGCGTCAATCAATTACGACAGGTAATTCGACTTTTCAGGGCAATCTAGCCGGTATCATTTGCGGAATTGGTAGAATGGGTGACAGATTGAGCAATTTTAGGAGGGCAAGCTAGCAGAGATCATTTGCGAGGCTCTATCGTAAATTTTAAGCTATTTTTAGCTTTTTCAGTCGATTACGCCAGGTAATTCCGCTAGTTCGGGCGATCTAGCAGGGATTCTTGGTGGAATTGGTAGATTGGATGGCAGATTCCAGGAGGGCATGCTAACGGAGACTATTTGAGAGGTCAAACGGGCAGACTAGCAGAGGCAATTGGGCATAAAAGTGGCTTCTCGTTGCCTTTAAAACGATCTAGACTTTGTTTGTTGTCTCTCACTCTCCCCATTTTCAATCCCTCGAATGGGCCTTAAGCCGTCCTTGTCGAACAGCCATTGTGAGTCATGCATTTCCAAACAACTCGCGCGATTGTTAGAAAAATTCATTTTACAGTTTCTCATTTTTGGACCCACGAAACTTTCCGCAAATGGTCTCCGCTCGCTTGCCCCTTTCAGAATCCTGCCAGCTGCCATCCAGTCGGCGGATTCCCCAAAAATCTTTGCTAGTTTGCCCCCGCGAACTCGGATTTACCATTTAAGCGAGCGGGTGATCGGATAGAATTTTCCGCAAATAGCCTCGGCTAGCTTCCCCGTTTCGGAGTTCTTCAAACTGCCATTCATTCAAACGATTCCCGAAAAATAACTGTTCGTTTCCCGCAATTCTCGACCTGGCGATCCTGAAAACCGGGCCCAATAAAAAGCGCCGTAGCGTACCTCATTTTATCACCTCATTCTGGGTTGGAGGGACTCTTTTTCACTCCGCCAAACAAACGGAAAAGGGAAAATTGGGTTATTCTCGGCCTCCCAATTCTCAAAAAATAATTGCTATCACTGAACTAAAGGAAAATGAAATTTTCGACTACTTTATTTTTAGACTTTTCTTTGTCGTTCAGTACGGAGCCCACGTTGGCAGCCCACTGTTTTAGCGTCATCCATTCCCCGGTTTAAAATAGGCCGCACATCACTTGTATTTCCTTTTTTCTTTGTCTCTGGCACCCAGAAAGAGTTTACGTAGCGTAATCGGTTGACAAATTCCACTCAATTTTCCCGCTTTTGATGATTTTTGCGGGCGTCCGGAAACCTGAAGGACACAATGATCAGGCCGTCTGCTATTTACATAGCGTAATCGATGGGCCAACACGAAATTTTTCCGATTTTTAGTGGTTCTATTATAATTTTTGGCAGCCCGTACACATAGCTACGCATTGTTCATTTGCGGAATTTCTCAATTTTTCTCAATTTTGATTTTTCCTGAAAAACAAATTGAGCCCCTTGATATTTACATAGCGTAATCGATTGGCCATTTCTAAACTTTTCGGTTTTTTAACGGTGTACGGTGTCATTGTTTGTTTTGGCAGCCAGTACGCATAACTACGCCACTGCATTTTGCAAATCTCTTCAATTTTGCATGATTCTCATCATTTTCCTGTAATAAACCAATTTCAGCCGCCCTGCTATTTACATAGCGTGTTCGATTGCGTGGCGATCGATAAGGAGACAGGGCTTCTTCTCCTTCTCCCCCTTCCTTCCACCCCTCGTTCCCTTCTAAAGCCCCAAAAAAAGAGGGGCAGAAGGGGGCAGAGATAAAAGAGCGCAGCTGCACCACCACCACCGCGTAAATAGGAGCCACGCGGAATTTTTGGAGCTTCTGAACGCCGGAATTGGATTGTTTGGACGATCTAGTATCTGATTTTTACCCTAAAAGCGCTAAAAATTCGCTGAAAATGTCGAATATGACGACGATTAGAAGATCGGCGAATCGAGCGCAGGTTTGAATTTTTTATTTTTTCTGGCTTCAAAAATGCATAAAAATCGTGGAACATTTAATTTTTGATGTTTCTTATATGTTTTTGTAGCCCTTGAATTTCTCTGCCTAATTGACTGCTTTTTATATGATTAAAACACCAAAATATCGAAATAGGGGGCGAAGAAAACAGAAAAATTGCGAAATTGCAAGTTTTGGTTTTTCAAAAAATTCTATAAAATTTTAGGAGCCTGAAATTTTCATGTTATGTGTATACCAGTGAAAAACGACCGCTTCGCGGCCATTTTCCACTGGACCCCGTCCAGGAATCATGAATTTGAATACCTTCTTCTTTTAGCCTGCGGCGCAAGGACCTTAGTAATGGCGCCATTCTTTGGCCTGCGGCGCTAGAGCCAGCGTTCCGCTAGAACCTTTGAGCCTGCGGCGCTAGTTACTGGTTTTTCTCCAGGATCTGGCCTGCGGCGCGAGAGCCTGGGTCAAGGAGCTTCTCTTGGGCCTGCGGCGCTAGAGCGAGAGCCAGGCCTAAATCTCGCACACCGAGAGCCTAGAAATATGGTTAGTTGCTAAACTACCAAAAAGCAAAAAGTTGGATTTGCCCAGGATCCGAACCCACGACCATCGGCGTGGTAGGCCGGGAGTAAATCCACTACACCATGGGGTAGATGCAACAGGCGGCGGGAAAGCCCTCTTCTGTTCCGGGGAAAGGGGAGCGGGGAGGCACAGAAAAGGCCGACCCAATGCCCCGGAAGGGAGGCCTTCTGGTCACTTTACAAAATTGAGTTTTTTAGTCTGAATCTGCAGAAAATTTGTAAAGATAATAAGATGCGCGTGATCCCCACTATCGAATACATAACTGGTCCAAATTTCAGCCCGAAATTCCAAATGCGAAGCGAGTTATGCCCCGGACACCACGGCCATTGGCCCATTTTGTTAAGGATTTTCACTATTTTGCTTGTAAAACCGTTAAATGAAAGAATTTCGCAAAACAAAAAAATGCGTGTCTGACAAATGTGTTCTTCCACCTTCATGCCAAAAATCAGCTCGAAATTCGGCCTCATGGCCGAGAAATCGTCATTACAGAAAACAAACATACTTTTCTCGCTTATATTATGTGTATATATAATTTTGTAGCGCTTAAATTTCCCTATCCAAATGATTTATATAAAATTCTCAAAATACCTAAAACCGGCATTACGGTAGGAAGAAAAACGAAAAATTGCGGGATTTTGGAATATTTGCGTAACCTGAGGGTATTATCTAATTTATCGGGGGTCCCTGAAGCCCCCCTAAAAAAAACTTATAGGCTACAATACGTAAAAAATCAAGTTCCTAAAATTTTTTAAAATTACAACTACTTACGCGGGGAAAATTTTTATTAGCTGAGCAGGGGTAGCCATAATATCGTAAGCTGGTTTTGGCAGCCAGCCGTAATGGGGGGTATAGCCGTTGAGTATTTGCTCACAATTAGCCCAAGTAGTACGTCTAGTACGCGGCAGATCAGATTACCGTAGGCACGCGTCGCGTAATGCCCGCTACTCACAACCGGCATTTGGTGGCTAACGTACTCGCTACGATACGCGGGTCTAAATGTTAAACTTTACTTAATGTCCGAACGACTTCTTGATTCTTTTCACATGCAAATAATTTTTTAGAAAATGCCGTCCGATGCCCAGCGGCCTGGGAATTTGCATGAGCATTTAGGTATGTCGTATCTCTCTCTCCCTCCGGCCCCTCTCTTACAATCTCTCTCCTTCTCTCTCTCTCTCTCTCTCTCTCTCTCTCTCTCTCTCTCTCTCTCTCTCCATCTAGCTCCCATATTCTCTCTCCCTCTCTCTCTCCCTCTCACACTTTCTTTCTCACGCTCTCTCTCTCTCTCACACACTCTCTCCCTCCCTCTCTCTCTCACACATTCTCTCCCTCCCTCTCTCTCTCTCTCTAGCTCTCTTTCTCGCTCTCTCTCTCTCCTTTTTAATACAAATTTCAGCCCGAATGGAGATGGTGGGACGTCCGCAAGGTGGCATCGGATTCGAGAGACTCGTCTGGGCACCTGACCCAGTTCATGGGTAATTTAGAATGCTAATCAATAGAATTCATCCTTTCAGGTATGTTCTAGGTGACATCGTTGATATTCGAAGCGACAGTCTATCAATTACACGACGTAATGACGGCAAAACGGTACGTTCATCGAACTGTCCGCCAGAAAGTGACGTTATGTAGGTGGAAGTGCGTGCCGATGACGTTTTCCCAGCCGACGCCTCAAAAGACACGACAGTCGATGACAATTGTGCGTTGATGTATCTGAATGAGGGCAGTCTACTCGAGAATTCGAGGCGACGATTCATCAATAAACATCACATTTATGTGAGTTGAAAAAAACGTGTCGTAATCCATTACGACATCTTCAAGGAGGTCAAGCAAAACTAGCATAATCCGTCAAAAAATTCGATTTTGCCGATTTTTAGTGTTAGTTATTCGTTCTGACATACATTAAGCTCAAAGGTAAATTTTTAAAGGCGCTCGGACAGCTAGAAAAATTCTCAAATTTATATTTAGACTTACGTGGCGAACATCCTGATCTCGATCAACCCATACGCGGACGTTCCGGATCTGTACTCGACGAAAACGATGGTGTCCTACCGAGGAAAATCCATTGGTCAACTACCGCCCCATGTTTATGCTATCGGTACGGTGGATTTGCCTTCAACGGCCCTTTAAAGGCGCCGGACGGCGACACGCAACGCGCACGCCCCGCCCTTCCATTGCGTAATCGATTACGACACTTTTATGGCGGTCAAGCGAGGCGTGCGCGTCGCGTATCGCGCCAAAAATGGCGCAGTCTATGGCCATGCCTTCCTACTCCCTTTAAAGGGACACTGACAGCCGAGCTATTCGATTACGCAAGCCAAATCCGAGCAAAAAACTTACCGCTTACGCGAGATAATCAAACGGGCCAATTCCAAGCGTAATCGAATGATTTCTGGTGAATTACATTGCGTAAGCGAATGAGCTGTGGGCAAACTAGCAGAAAACCTTAGGAAACCGCGCCTTGCATGTCCCTTTAAAATGGAGACTATAAAGGTAGTGTGACAGCTAGGATAAAAGGCTTCACTCTCCGTCTAAAACCACCAAGCCAACCTTTTTTCAGCGGATAAAGCATTCCATGGCACGTTTTTCCTCACTTTCCGGTTAATTTAGCTTGACATCTGGGGGTACTGTAACGGAGTAAAGTATACCCTTCCAAAGGAAAACTTGAGCTCTTTAAAACGGCCTATTGTAAGTTACCGTAACCCAGAGGAACCCAATTTTACAAGGCCTCAAACTACGAGAAAATTTTCGTATCCAATTTAAAGGGAGTGAGACAGCTAGGATACTAGCCTGTCACTCTGCCGCTAAATACACAAAATAAACATTTTTTCAGCGGACAAAGCATTCCGAGACATGCGTCGCCACGGGAGATCCCAGTCGATACTTGTATCTGGAGAATCTGGAGCTGGAAAGACTGAGAGTCAGAAGGCCATTCTCAGATATTTATGCGAGAATTGGGGACAGACGGCTGGACCTATACAACAGAGACTACTCGAGAGTACGTTTTTTTACGGGATTACGGGGTATCGGTCGGTTACCGGCATGACAATAGCTAGAGAGATAAAGCAGAGAGAGAGAGAGAGTGAGAGTGAGAGAGAGTGAGAGCTAGATGGAGAGAGACAGAGAGGTAGAGAGAGATTGACAGTGAGAGAGAGAGAGAGAGACAGAGAGAGTGAAAGCGAGTGAGAGATATAGTGAGAGAGTGAGAGAGAACTAGAGAGAGAAAGCGAGAGCGTGAAAAGTGAGAAAGCTTTTAAAGGAACCCAGAAGTAACGAAGCCAACCGATTACGCTATAAAATTCATAATCCAGCCTTTTCCAGCCAACCCAATCCTGGAGGCTTTTGGCAACGCGAAAACGTCTCGCAACAACAATAGTTCGAGATTCGGGAAATTTGTCGAGATCCACTTTGACAATAAGGTGAGATTTTGGTGTCTCTGTCCTTTTAAATCGGCTGGTAAGTCGTGAATTCCGGCAGTTTTTGCCGCTTCGCGGGCCGGAACGCCTACCCTCGGTCGCTAAAAAGGTGTGGTGAGCGATCAGGCAATGGAAGGGCGGAGCGCGCGCGTCACGTGTCTCGGCGCGGTAGAATTTACAGGAAAGCCGCGACGCAATACGGAACGCACACGCCGGGTATTTCCTAGCCTAATCGATTACGACGCGTTTTTGTGGACAGGCGAGGGCGCGCCTCGGGCGTCGCGGCCTCATTTCGGTCCATATCGATTCAATCCCGGTCCCTTTAAACCCAGTAAATTCACATTTTTGCAGAATTTGGTTACCGGAGGCCACGTCTCGCATTACCTGCTGGAGAAATCTCGAATTGTCGGCCAATCTGAAGGAGAGAGGAATTACCACATTTTCTATCAATTGATCGCCGGTTCGGATGCGGATATGTATAAACTGTACGCCCTCGCACCGCCCGATCGATTTCATGTGGGTTTTTTCCGGTTGATTTACAAGTCGTAATCGGCGACACCTAGCGAATTCCATAGCGTGATCGATTAAAAATTGCCTAATTTATGGCCGTAATCGTTTAGTACCTGCGTCGCGGTTGCGTCGACTTTTTCGCACGGCCTGGCAATGAAAGGGGAATTAATGCCGATCGATTGGCGCCGAAGGTATCGTTATTTTTTGCCTTCAATGGCCCTTTAAACCCCTTTTTCAGGCCCAAACCCGTGTGGATCCAATTGTGGATGACGCGGCAGATTTCAAACGTCTCCTCTCTTGCCTCGAGAAATGCGGCCTAAATGAAGGAATGAGAAAACAAGTGCTGAGTACGGTGGCCGGGGTGTTGCACCTCGGAAATGTCGATTTTGTGGCGGTGGAGGAGGGAGGAAAAGGTATGCAATATCTTAAATGACTGACAGTTAATCCAAATCAGGCCAGAAAAGCAGGCTAGCAAAGGTAATTGTGGAAAATCCCCACCTTTGGGTCACGTTCCCTTTAATCCTCAATAATCGCTGCTAATTCCCCGTTTCCGGTTCCCAAATTTTCACTGCTAGCTTGCCCCGCCGCTAAAAAAGCGCACTAAATAATCGCTGCTAGGTCTCCGAAAATTTTAAAGGGCCGTTGAAGGCAAGTATACGGGAAAATTTATGTGGCGTAATTGATGATAAATTTTGGGTAAACTGTCAGAGACAATTTGCGAAATCGATCAACTGTCTGGTAGTTGGTTGATCTCAAAAGTGGCAGGCTAGCAGAGACTATTTGAGAAAAGTTGCGTCGAAAAACTCTTGGAAAACCGGTAATCCGGCCGTAAAAACCCAGGAACGGGCAAACTAGCGGAGATCATTTGTGGAATGGATCGACTGATTGGCAGTTAGACAAATTTTAAAAGGGCAAGCAGCAGAGGGCATTTGGGAATGGCTTAATCGCTATTTCCAGATGGCAGTCGTGTCTCCCCGGGTGAATCCGAGAAATCAGCGATTCGAGCGGCTGGAATGTTTGGTATCGATGTTCAGCAGCTTCGTCTTGCCCTTACCACTCGTGCAATGCAGCCATCCAGGGGAGGAATGAAAGGAACACTCATACTGTAAGTTGGAAATTTTGAAAATTCGAAAAACATTTTGAAAAACATCTAGATTTTGCATTTTTGGTTGATTTTTTAAATCTATTTCATGTATTTTGGCATTGTTTTTTTTGTATTCTGTAGTTTGTAGGCCATACACAAAAAATGCACAACATGTTTTCACGATATATTTATTTTTTACCAATTTCCGATTTTGTCGAAGCATGGCTTCCGAGTTCCTTTAAAGTGACCAAGCTTCCATCTGTCAGCTATTTGACTTGCCAGTCTCTTTAAAATCATAAAAATCGAGTTTTGACGATTTAAAGGTTACCAAACCTTCGACTAGCGGCCAATTGACTTGTTGGTCCATTTAAAACGGCGAACATCCGGAATATCGCCGATTTAACCGAGCCGGACCTCCGAATGGAATCCAGTTGACTTGTCAGCCCCTTTAAAATCACCTTAGATTGCCCCAATTTTTTGCGATGGTTGATGTGGGGTGGAGGGGGGAGGGATCGCCCAGAATGGGACCACAAAACAGTTAGGGCAAACACTTCGAGAGGGGAGTCGAAACCGTTCAACGGACTGTCCAGTCTCTCTCTCTCTCTCTCTCTCTCTCTCTCTCTACCTCTCTATCTCTCGCTCTCTCTCTCTCCCTCACTCTCCCTCACACTCACACACTCTCTCTCCCTCTCGCTCTCCCTCTCCTGTCGCTCTCTCGCTCTGTCCCTCTCTCCCTCTCTCACTCGCTCTCTCTCCCGTCTCTCTCTATCGCCCTCCCTCTCTCTCTCTCTCCACTCGCTCGCCAGTTGTTTATTTGAAGTTTGGAGGGTTTTTTCGAGGTCCAGCCCCGGTCCCTATAGAAGTGGCTGCTGCTGACCACCCCGAGCTAAACCAACACTCCTACCGGCTTAACTGACTGAAATGGCAGACAAACAGACAAACTGACCGACACACACCAGGATTTTCACCTCTATTTGCTGACCATGATCTGAAAAACCGGGCTGATCACTGTTTTGGGCAGGCCGGAAAGTACCTGATCTGCAGAAAACGGCGGTTTTTTGAAAAGCACGGATTCCATGGCGTAATTGGATAGGAAAAATGTAAATGCCTATCAGTTGAGAAGAATTGATCGAGATTTTTGAGATTTTTGATTTCATAGCGTAATCAGATGACGATCTTTCGAAATTTGGAATTTTCTAGCGTGATCGAATATCGAACAGTGAATTACCGATCCGAATTTCCGGAAAAATCGGAAAAACGGAATCAATGCCGATACGAAACCACGAATTTCATGCCAGTTTACAGTAATCCGCAGAGATTTTCGAATTCCCTAGCGTAAGCGAATGGAAGGCAAAAAGTTCGGCACCAAAAAGTGTGGTTTTCCAAATTTTTGAAATTCCGTAAGTGGATGTAGTTCGTAGCCCAGGCCATGAAATTTTTGTGTGAGGTTGACTGTATGTCAAATTACACAATTCCATTCGAATTTTTGGGTTTTGTAAGGTTTTCGAATTACATGTTGTGATCAAATAATCGATTTGTGATTTTTGAACTCCTCGAGCTCGACGCTAGATTTTTTTAGTCGCTTAGACCTTAAGTTCCCAAATTACTGTAGGTACAACTATGCTGACAGCTCACTTACTTCGAGATTTGCCCCATTAGGCGCGCCCCGATTTTTGATGGGTTGTTTGCGCGACGGGGGATTTATGGGGGGTTTTTGGTTACGTGCGTGTGCGTATTTTTGGAACAGCTGTTCCTCCCCACCTGATTGTCTTCTTTTTTTTGGCCCTCTGAGCGCCATGGCAACGCTCTATGTCTGCCAATTAACCCGAAATTCTGCCTTGAAAATCCCCTGCGGCGAAAACAGCGGCAGTGTTCAGCACCAAATCTGGCGGGCAAATTCAGAGAACCGCACGTGTTTGCCGATTTTGCCGATTAAAGCCGATTAAAGGGGGTCTGAAATCACCAAACCGATAAAACCACAGCTGAAATGACCATCCGATTATGAAATGAAATGACAAAGTCTCGGAAAACTCGTGAAAATCACGAAAAAACCTGAAAATAGTCAAATTCCTATTCGATTACGCCATGAATTTCTACAAATTGATCATAATCCTATTAATTGCCATACAGTACAGCCTTCCGAAAATTTGGTAGTATCAAAATAAACCAAGGATTTCATCAATTTGGCAAACTTTGAAATGGGATCCGGTTACGCTATGTAATTCGAAAGCCCTGCGAAATGCTAATTTTCCGGCGGATTCCTACTAACTGGCATACTGCAAGCTTTTCCTGAAAATTGTAAGACTTAGACTACGATCCGCACAAAATTGCGTGATTGCAAAAATTTTGAAATCTGGGCTTTTGCTGCCGAACTTCTGCCCCCTCTTCGCTTACGCTAGGAAATTAAAAAATCGCCAAGGATTAGTGTGAGCTGGCATATAGTAAGTCTATGTCTGAAATCTATATCGAAATTTCATGGTCTACGTTCTACAACAACTTACGCGATTGCAAAAATTTTGAAATCTCCGATTTTGATGCCGAACTTTTGCCCTCTATTCGCTTACGCTAGGAAATTCAAAAATCGTTGTGGATTAGTGTAAACTGGCATACAGTCTGTCTATCCTGAAACTTTCACGGACTAGACTACGTTCTACACCAACGACGCGATTGCAAAATTTTTGCAATCCGGGGCTTTGGTGCGGAACTTGTTCTGTCTTTTCGATTACGTGAAAAAAATTGTGAAATTCCAATGGTTTCCTATTAAATGGCATACAGTAAGTCAATCCTGAAAATTCCAGGGCCTAGACCACAATCTACACCAATTTACGCGATTGCAAAAATTTTGAAATCCCCGATTTTGATGCCGAACTTTTGCCCTCCATTCGGTTACGCTGTGAAATTGGGAAATCCAAGCATTCCAATAGATTACTGTATACTGACATACAGTAAGCCTCTCCCAAAATTTTAGGGCATAGACTACGATTCGCACAAAATTACGCGATTGCAAAAAATTTGAAATCCGGGCTTTTGGTGCCGAACTTCTGTCCTCTATTCGCTTACGCTAGGAAATTCAAAAATCGTTGTGGATTAGTGTAAACTGGCATACAGTCTGTCTATCCTGAAACTTTCAAGGACTAGACTACGTTTCCACACCAACTTACGCGATTGCAAAAATTTTGAAATCCCCGATTTTGGTGCTGAACTTTTGCCCTCCATTTGCTTACGCCATCAATGCCGTGATTTTCGAAAGTCCCTAACGGCTTCCCAGATCCCCTAAGCGTTGTAGATCTATTGCGACGGAACAGCCCCCATTTTTGGGTTGCGAAGGTGATGCGGATCATTTTGAGGCGAGCGGCCTATCGTCTGCCCTCTCCTCTCCCCTCCCACTCTCTCTGCCCCCTCTCGTCTGCGCCTCTCCCCCTCTCTCTCCCTCTCCCAAATCGAAGCCCCGCCCCCTTTCCAGCCAGAAGATCAGCACCAACATTCAGCCCCTCAAAAGGCCCTGTTTTTCGTGGGTTCCCGTATACAGGGTGGCCCGAAAGAGTGGTGACCGAAACTTTTTCGATTTTCTGAAAAACTATAGATCGAGGAAAGCTCATTTTAGCACATTATATTCCTTAAACAATTATCTTCCACATGGTATAACCACTTTTTTATTTGTTTGCCTCAAATTCGGAAAAACTGGCGGGGAAGCGGATGGAAAACGGAGGTGCTGGCACGCAGGCACTCAGCCCGAATTTGGCTCACAACTCGACGAAGACTTTTCCGAGCGACCCAAAATTGAATCGGGAGTAGCCAACACTTTCGCCTTTCAGTCCGGCTACACAAAAAACATTCTGCGGATTCGGGTTGGAGCTGCAGGATGGCTCTTTTGGCGAGCAAAAAACGGTTTGGTCAAAACCCTTAATAACGGGCCTCAGTCACTTGACCAAGTTGGAGGGTTCTGAGCCATAGCTGCACCACGAGCTTCACCGGAAACGTCAGGCACGCTCGTTAAAGAGATGGAAAAGGCATCGTTAAGTATTTTCATCCACAGGAATTTATTTTAGATTTTGTCGATTTCAAAAAATCCATGACTTTGAATTATGGAATTAAATTCCTAATGAAAAAGCTTGACTGCGTTGTGCGCTGAGCGTATGCTCAAATTTAGCCAACATCTATAGGAAACAGAATCCATAACCCCGCCTTGCCCAAACCCATAAGGGAACAGAGAAATTCTGTGTGCAAGCTGCGGTCACCACTCTTTCGGGCCACCCTGTAAAATCTTCTCCACCACCCCAGCTGACATACAATACGCAATTTGTACCTACTCGTACCCCGGGTTTTTGCTGGAGGGCGGCGCTACCGTACCCTATTTTCGGAATTTCCTTTTCCCGGAATTCCTATTTCGGATTTTTTCATCGAATTTATCTTGCTTGGAATACAGTATCTCCGTTTCCGAATTTTCGTGATTTTCCAACCGATTTAAGTAGCGTAATCGATTAGAATTTCGAATTCTGGGCCCCCGTAGCCTTGCGGAATTTCGAATTTTTCCAGTTTCGTATTTCGAATTTAATGAGTTTTTAAAGGCGCTTTCGATGACGTAATTGTTATAAAAATGCTGCATACTTTAATACCGTATTCCATTAAAAATCAGAGATTTTCCAATCTTTTTTGGGGCTGCTTTCCAAAAATTCCATTTTTTTGCGCGTTTTAAATTTTATAAATTCAAAACTACCGTATATCTGTCCGTTGGGTTTTGTTGTACTACAATAAGCAGTTTTAGGGCTATCATAACCCTCTATTTTAGAGAATTGCCGAAAACTTTGCGATTTGCAGGATTTTTGGAGCTGTCAGGCCCCTTTAAAACGAATTTTATAAGAGTTAATATTTTAAATTTATTTCTTTATCAACCAGTTTAAATTCTAGTTAAATTTGACCATTTTGAATTCATAAACATTTTTTTACTTTTTAAAACCTTTGAATTCCTAGATTTTTTACATTTTGGAAAATTTTGCTGTCACGCTCCCTTTAAATCCAATTTTTGTGCGTTAATTTTTCTATTTTCTTGTTTGCTTCTCGCCAGCTTAATAAATGTTAAATATCCTAGTTCAAAATTTTCAGAAAGAATGCAACCAATCCGTTTCAAACTGTTCCACGGCGGCTCGTCGGCCCGTCGTTTCCGGTTGACAGAACCGGCCGATGATGCGAAGAAGCTCTACAAACAGCTGACCGAAAAGATGACCCAAATGGGTATCGACGCGAAGGCGCTGCGATGGATCGATGCGCAGGGAGACAAGGTGGGTACGATAGGGGGTACGGTAGCTTCCGGAGATCCGGTAGATACGGTAGCCAAACGTCGAAAACGCCGTCATCTCGATCAGGTAAGGTTTACTGGACGCCGGCTTAGCGATTAGTCGATTTTTCGAAATCATAGTGTAGTTATTTTTGGACCTGAACTCCTTGAAGTAGTGGCGGGACCCGATTTCGGCTCAATTTCGTAAATTCCGGAATTTTGCGATTTTTAACTAGCGGATCGGATTTACTGTAGGCCAGCTTAGCGATTAGTTTATTTTTGGAATTACCTTGGGTTGAATTTGGCTCCTGAACTCCTTCAAGTCGTTGGAGGACCCGATTTTGGCTCAAATTGGAAAATCCAGTCATTTTCAGTCTGCCAAGTTTACCATAAATTTTAGATCAAATGCACAACCCCGGCCGATCTGCAGGAGGCGCTGTTCTGTTCCGGCGGCGAGGAGATGACCCTGTACGCCAAGAAGCAGAAGAAGGACGGACTTCAAGGAGTTCAGGAGGAGGATTCTGACTCGTCCGAATCTTCGGAATCCGACTCCGAAAGCGATTCCGACGACAGCAGCGAGTCGTCGGATTCTGAGGAGAGCGACGACGACGCCCCGGAGATGATCAAGGCGCCGAAAGAGGAGGAGGGACCTGAGGGAGGAGATGTGGACCGACGAGGCGGAAGAGGTGGAAAGGGGCGACATGGAGGACGAGGGCATCATGGCGGAGGTGGACACCATCATGGAGGACATCATGGCGGCGGACATCACCATGGTGGTCATCACCCGCCTGGTCCTCATCATCATCATGGACGACATGGTGGGCATGGTGGAAAGGGTGGAAAGGGCGGAAAGTGCCATCCACGTCCGTTCTTCGCCATCTGCTACCCCATCCCGCCCCCACATCACCGAGGAGGAAAAGGAGGTGAGGAAATCGTGCTGATTTTTTGGGTTTTATCAAAAACAAAGTTTTCGAATAAAAAAACGCTTACTGGCTGTCAATTTAGCGATTCTTTTTGTCAATTTTTCAAAATCATAGTGTAGTTAATTTTGGCCCTGAACTCCTTGAAGTCGGTGTGGGACTCATGTTTCGAGAATTCCGGAATTTTTGTAGATTTTTCTAGCAGATCGGGTCTACTGTATCCCAGCTTAGCGACCAATGCACTTTGTCAATTTTTCCTGTGCTAAATCTGGGCCCTGAACTCCTTGAAGTCGTTGTGAGACTTGCTTTCACAAATTTCGAAAATCCAGCAATTTTTAATTTTCTAAAAATTGAATTCTGTTTGCTGGCTGCCAGTTAACGTATTTAGCTAACCAAAAAACTAAACTCCTTGAAGTCGTTATGGTTTAGGCATTTTTCCAGAACATTTTTAAAATTTTATTTTTCTCCTTTTTCAGGCCACGGCGGACATCACGGCGGCCCACCCCGCCCTCATCACGGAGGAGGTCACGGAGGACACCACGGAGGGCATGGACCCTTCCCGCCCCCACCCCACCATGGCGGACATCACCACGGAGGTCACGGCCCGTTCCCCCGCCTCACCATGGAGGACATCATCACCACGGAGGTCACGGCCCCTTCCCTCCCCCCTCATCATGGAGGAGGTCACGGCAAGCATGGTCACGGCCCCAACGAGTCCGACACCGGCAGCTCTGAATTTGAGTGCTGCTCCGTCCGCTCGGGCATGCCGATGCCGCCACCCCCGATGCAACCGGCTGAACTCCCCCAACTTGATGCCGCCCTCCAGGGGATCAACTTGGGCGGACCACAACGCCGCCGCCACCACAAGAAGCACCACCATCATCACCACCCACCGATGTGAATTGTACTCCTTGTACTTGCTGTTCTCCTACTTTTGAACCTGTTGAAGACGTGTGGGCCCTAAAAATTAGAAAAATGTTAAAAGTTGATTTTTCCGGTTTTGGCCCCAAAAAATCGAAAAAATGTTCTCATTTCCATCTCACTCTTCTCTCCTCCATTTTTTACCGCTTTTTTTGGTTTGTAAGCTCCAAAAAAATCCGAAAAAAATTACGGTAACCTTCCTAATTGTCATTTTTTATTTTCTGATTTATCTACAGTACCCCAATGTATTTTTCGCCCCGAAACCCGTTGATAGTCACCCGGTGTATATAAATAAATTGTAGTGAAAAAATTGAGAGTTTACATCGCAATACAAAATACAAAAATACACATCATGGAAAATGGGTTTTTCGTTACAGCAACACAGCTAAATGTCATTTTTGCATGCCAGAAAGAACAAAAATACAGACGGAATTGAAAAACATTGCAAAATATTGAAAAATTCGGGGCCCGGCCTGACGTGGCCAATTGGTAGTGCGCTGGGCTGACACCCACCCGACCCGGGTTCAAATCCCCGGCGCGCCAAACATTTTGCTTTTTGGGAATAGGCAATCTGGCAAACACGCAGCCTATTCCATTGTAGCACAGACTACAGACTACAGCTTTTCAACCCGTACGACTCAGGTTCGCGCGCCGACCGGGCCTATCTGTTTGCTTTTTAGGGATTAGGGCCCGGATTTTTATGAGAGTCTCTAAACTGATAGCCAGACTACAAAATACAAACGATAGACTGCAATTTGAAGCTAAAATTTTGAAATGGTTTTAATTCTAGGGTGCCGCTGAAGCCGGCTGAAGCATCCGCTGCCAGAGATGCCCTCGCAAAGGCCATCTACTCGAGACTGTTCGACTGGATTGTGGCTACGATTAATAAGTAAAGCGAGAGAGACAGAGATGACAGAGAGCGAGAGGGAGAGAGTGAGAGCGAGAGAGCTATAGAGAGAGAGAGAGAGCTATAGAGAGAGAGAGAGCGAATGAGACAGAGAGCGAGAGAGAACGTGAGAGAGTGAGAGAGAGAGAGTGAGAGAGAGGGCGCGAGCGCGAGAGAGAGAGCAAGCTAGCAGAGATCTTTTGGGAATTCTCCTGTTCTAGCCACTTTAAAACCATCGTTTTTAGGAGCATCCCGTTCACCAATTCTCACAACTACATTGGCGTGCTGGATATTGCCGGATTTGGTACGGTAATTTCGGCCTATTTGTCATTTTTGATTTTTCTGAAACTTTTCACGACGACCGGTCCCTTTAAAACTAAAAAAATCCTAATTTTTTGGTTTTTCTCAGAATACTTCACGATCAACTCGTTCGAGCAGTTCTGCATCAACTACTGCAACGAGAAACTGCAGAATTTCTTCAACGAGAGAATTCTGAAGGAAGAACAGGAATTGTATGCAAAAGAGGGACTCGGGGTGGACAGGATCGAATTTGCTGACAATCAGGATTGTATTGGTGGGTTGAGAGGTCATAGCCAGCTTGCCTATCTAACTGCCACGATGCCTTTAATACGCTGAAATTCGTCAAAAATTTCTGCTAGCTTGCCCTGCTACCTGTCACGCTCCCTTTAAAACCCAAAAATCCCCCAAAATCGCCGCTAGCCTGCCCTGCTGCATGTCACGCTGCCTTTAAAACGTCAAAATGCCGCACATGATCTATTGTAGCTTGCCCTGCTAGCTGTCACGCTCCCTTTAAAAAGCTGAGATTTCCCAAAGGAACTCTGCTAGTTGTCATAGGCCAAGAAACCATTTTTCCGCAAATTGTCCCTGCTAGCCTGCCTTGCTTGTTGTCACGCTCCCTTTAAAACGTCAAAATTCCGCAAATGATCTATAGTAGCTTGCCCTGCTAGCTGTCGCACTCCCTTTAAAAAGCTGAGATTCCACAAATGGTTTTTGCAAGCTGCCAAAAAGCCATTTTTCCGCAAACTCTCTCTGCCGGCCTACCAGATTAGGTGTCGCTCTCCCTTTAAAACGCTAAAATCCGCAAATAATGGCTGCTAGCTGGCCAGCTTGAATTTAATTAGGCCTTTCTACCAAGGAAAGCAGGTTTTTTTCCACAAATTCTCCTGGCTAGATTGCCCTGCTAGCTGTCACCCTCCCTTTAAAGCAGCTTATTTTTCACCAATCGCTCTTCGGCAAAATTAAAGGGAGCGTGCCAGCTGGAAAACTCTTGAAATGCCAAAAAGCAGCGGATTTCAATTTTCCCACTAAAAAAATAAAAAACTCGATTTTCAGATCTGTTCGAGAAGAAGGGGAGTGGAATGCTGGATCTGCTGGATGAAGAGATGAGGCTCCCCAAGCCACTCTCCGCCCATTTCACCCAAAACGTACACCAAGCTAATCAGAAGCATTTTCGGCTGGATGTAAGGAGTTTTGTCTCTCGCTCTCTCTCTCTCTCTCTCTCTCTCTCTCTCTCTCTCTCTCTCTCTCTCTCTCTCTCTCTCTCTCTCTTTCTCTCTCTCTCCCTCTCTCTATCTCGCTCTCTCTATCTCTCTCCCTCTCTCTCACTCTCTCTCTCTCTCTCTCTCTCTCTCTCTCTCTCTCTCTCTCTCTCTCCTTTTGGCCGAATATTACACGAATTTTTGGGTTGCAGACGCCCCGAAAATCCCTGCTAAAGGAGCATCGCGGAATGCGAGACGAAGACGGCCTTCTCGTCCGCCATTTTGCCGGTACCGTATGCTATCAAACGGCCGGTTTCCTCGAAAAGAATAACGACGCCTTGCACGCGTCGTTGGAAGCTGTAATGGAGATGAGCGAGTATGGCTAGACTCTGTGACAGACAGCTTAGCTTTTTAGAATGCCGGTGATGAAGCTGCTCTTCGCGCCGCCTGCGACATCTGAGGCAACAGTGCCAAGTCGTACCCGCCTGATCGTTCCCTCCGTTGGCTCCAAATTCCGCTCGCAACTCGCGCAGCTCATCGAGAAATTGGCATTAACGGTCAGTGAGACTACTATATTATTCAGGTTTATTTTACCACCCCCCTTCAACTTTATTTTATTTCATACAACTTTATTTTATTTCATACCACACAACTTCATTTTATTTCTCCAGGTTTTATTTTATTTGATTTTATTCTTCAAAACTTTCTCAAAACTTGAGTTCTCAAACTTTATTCTTCAAAACTTTATTCTTCAAAACTTTATTTCTCAAAACTTTATTCCTCAAAACTTTATTTTATTTCAGAAAGATTGTATATTCGATAATGTTGTGCATACTCATCGTGGTGTGTTTCAACGGTTTGATTTTAAATATTTATTGACATACAAAGAAAATAGAATCATGGAAATTTTACAACGAAATCAGGGAAAGGAGGGCATGTTCAAGGATGCGGTCACGAACTGCATGGTTTAATATGAGATTTAAGACTGTTGCTATCAGCGTCGTAATAAAAAAGATATTTCAAGGATCTTCTTGGCTCCATCTGTATTATGAGCACCGTTTTTCGGCTCCTCGACTCGGAGGTCGGCATTCCCGTCGATGAGGGACTCCTGTTTCCAGGAACTGCGGCAATTCCGCTTAATATGACGTACAAGATTGGAGTTTGAAGAAAATACCTTGTCACACTGGAAACAACGGAAAGCAGGGCGCTGTGCTGGCAATGAGCTCATCAGATTTACAAAACTGAACAGAATGGGACTGAATCCTGGACCTACTCCTCCTTATATACACGCTCCCGGCATAGGCCAAGGGAAGAGAGCAATTAAAACGGGATTTCATAAAGAAAATCACAAATAAATCATCAATGGTGTGCATAAACCTCAAAACATCATAGAAAGGCATACCAACGCACATTTTTGTCAGGAAAATGATGCAGAATGCCCCGCAAGTACGCGTTCGGAAGGCCTGGCATTGTTTTCGGCTTAAAATCACATTTTTATAATGATCGGCCAGCCATTTTTAATTTCGCCTCGCGGCTCGTCTCCGTGGGTCGAAATAGAATACAGTATCCCTCGGGCGAAAAAAGCAACCCAATGCTTTCCGATGTGGGATATCTTGTCGGTGTTGACGCAAAATGCCGCCTTCAAGGGGCGCGTCGGTAGTGTGTCTGCAGCGTATGTGCCTTGGTAGAATAGTCGCGTCACGGGGTCCGTCATCAGAATTGCGTCGATTTGAAAGTTGTTCATGTTACAGTGTAAGCGTTTGAGCTTGGCGGGCGTGGTCCAGCGTCAATTTATCCATTAGCTCGGCGTGTACGACAACCATCAGTCCGCCTTTGGGCACCGGCTGGCTCAGCTCGAGATCCAAAGTGCATTGTCCGGCAACGGCCATGTCGAAGCTGTCAACACCGCCATCAGCATCCGGCAGAAGTTCGAATACCTGGACGCAACGGGCATCTGAAAACATTATATGTCCAATACCATTTGTTAGATTGCTGCCGGTCATACCGCAACCTTCTAGCATTTGCGTATAGGCTTCAGTACAACCCAACCGCCCTTATCCCAAACCAAGTTCCAAGGCTTGTGAGGCACAGCCTGACCCGCAAAACGAATGCTCAGGTTCTTGATATGGTTATGATGGAAGCGCCAAGGATCAGTCTGGTACGAACCTACAAAACCTTCATTCTTTACAAGTCCTACAAAAATACGTCGAGGGATCTGATTAGAGTTAAAGAGTTGCATCTCAGGAAGTTTCCAAAACGCCCTCGGGCATGTAAAAGCTTTTGGTCTGATAGCTACGCATGGGATAGCTAGCCTTCTTACCGCCACTCAATTGTCGCTCAATGGCGGCTACTGCCGAAGGGTACAGTTGATACTCGGCCAAAACAAGTCGAATGTCATCAATTACGAAACGCCATGTTTCTTTAGTGGAATCATACCCGCGGATCAAGAACTTATCGCTTTGTCGGTGCAGGGTGATCTGGATATCGGTGTTGTTCAACATTAGCTTATTTGAGCTACAAATGTTCAAATCCAAGGGACTGTTCACCTGCACGGACCTCCCCTTCATGAAAAGAACACTCATATTCTCAAAGCCATCGTTCGACTTGTGTTCGGCACCGTTATCGCCACCATCGTAGAGTTGGGGGTGGCCATAATTAAATTGCTTGATGTTCCTGTCCGTCATGAATTCCGCGTTAATGAAGGCGCGATATGGATACAAATCTCCAGAATTTTCAATTTGCGTACCGCCAATGCTAACAGTGGCTTGTTTCCAGAAGGCACGGGCCGCAAACTGTATAGGGGCGCAGCGTTCCTTAAAAGCTATTTTTCCCGTCACCATCGACTTCTGAATGTGTATAGCCATTCCCCTTTTCGTCGACTAAACGCAAAGTCATTGTGACATAGGAACGTGCTAGACTAATGAAATGGGGTTCTTTCATGATACGGAAAGTATAGGGACCAGTCTGATTTAGACTACTATTTTCTGGGGCAATACTTCTAAAGCGCATAGACTGGATACCTACAACGTGTTGAATCGGATCGAAAAGGGCGAGTTGGTTGGAAAAAGAAAGCTCAGGGTTGCTTTCCAATGCCTTTACTGCGGACATTTTTAGGAGGGATAACTGTAAAAATGGTTGCCGTTCGCTTTCTGCCTCTTTTTATAGCCGACCGTCTAGGGGGCAGGGTCTTCTTCACCAAAGTTTCGATGGGGGGCCCTAGAGGCAGACTCGTGGGTGGTGGGGTAGGGACACTATGTTTCACGGGGAGCAGAAATTTATTATGGCGGAAAGGCGCCCCAGCACCTTTTTGCGTTTTAGTGGCTACATTTTGCTTGGATTCACTAAAATCCCAAACAATTTCATTAGGGTCAACGAGATAATAATTGGAAAGAGACATTTTGGGGGGAAAGTGGAATGAAGGTGTTGCTTAATATAGTCTTTTGAAATGGAGAAGTGCAACCGACTTCCCGATATTCATGGGCACCTCGTGACCGTTGTCGTCGGTTATATGCAACTTAATCGAATTGAATCGTCCCTGCTTCACGCGATGGTACACTGGTGGGTTAAAAGTTTTTGTGGAAATGTCTCCCGGTAGCGTATCGTTTGGAATAGTACGTAGCAACTCCAAAAAACTCACCCCTACCAAATGAGGGTCCACCAAATTGCAAAAAACGCGCAAGTTTCTAGTGTTGAAATTAAGGTCGGGCAGATATTTTGCGGTTTGAATTCCGGTCAAGGTAGCACTTTCGAAACCCAACATACGCCAGATTAAGGCAGGCAGGATAATTTTGGAAATCCTGGTGGGGTCAATGTTGACCGTAAAGCGCATCTTGTTTTCATCATATTCGAAGCAAACGCCACGAGATTCATGAGCCGCGTTTTTCAACTCGTACGAAAAGCTATCGCTAAAGTTCTGCAGCGTAACCATGGGTATTTCGTCAACTAAAGGCTCGACCTCCTCCACCACCTTGTCATCGGCGGTGAAAAGACGCTGAGCACATCACTTCTCGCCACTTCTCTAAACTTTGGCTGGAAAGCCTCGGGCGTCTGAGGGAGGGGAAAGAAGTGAAAGTCCTCTTCTCATTTGAGGCGTCAAAGTTTGCATCTCCTCCTGCGCCAACCGGAGACAACGCCAGTGGACTATCCGTTTTCGCTAAGGGACTTAGGGGCTCTTCTGCTGTCACGGGACTGCCCAAAGGGCTGGCTGATGTGGGCTCCCCCGCGCCTAGTTCTACTTCCTGCTTCGCTGGCTCACCCGGTGAAGCCTCCTTGGCAGGTGGTGATGGTGGTGGTGTCACGTCATTTACTGCCGTCACGGTACTACTCCCCGGTGGCGGGGCGCGTCTGCTCCCGACACGATTTCCGGTGGCTTGTCCGCTGGTGCAGGTGGCGCGCCTGGCTAATCTCCCCGGTACTAACCCCCGGTGAAGTCCGCGCGGCTTCTCCCGACACCGTTGGCTTGTCCTCTGGTGCAGGTGACGCCAGGCTCCCTCCCCGGTACTAACCCCCGATGGTGTGAGCGCGGTTTCTCCTGACGCAATTTTCGTTGGCGTGTCCTCAGGTGCAGGCGGCGCCTGACTATTACCTCCTCCCTATCCATGGCTTCCGTTGATGTCTTCCCTTCATCAATTGGTTTCTCGGTTGGTTCATTGTGTGGAACTGTGCTACCACCTAGGGGTAACGAGGTGAAAGGTTTTTTCTCCCTTCGAAGCGTCAAAGTTGGGGGCAAGTCACCGGGTGTTGACCTACGTTTTCTAGTCTTGCCAAATATCGAGTTGAGTGCATTGGCAAGTCGGGTTGGCTTGAGATAGTTTCCAGCAGGCAAGTAGAAATTACTTGCCTGACCTTGGCTATCAAAAATTTTCAAGGGTTGATTTTCGGGTACTTGATCAACAGCACCAACCCCAGTCAACTCAACGAGCGCACAAGCCCATTGCTGCGCCCCGCCTTCCCGCAGGTTCAATTCTTTCGCCAAATGATTAGTTAAAAAGGGCTCCTTTCATCTGAAGGGCCAACAACGGTTACATAAAAATCGTCACTCATTGGAAACAAATGCACCACGGCGCTAAGCCAAACAGCCCTTTTATATCAACAAAAACGACCTATCTAAGGGGCGCAAAACTTCCCTTCCCATCTTCCGTGACAATATCTGCTAGTTGCACCCACCTATTAAACACGTTCGAATAGCCTCGGTATTGAACCAACCCGTAACGTGTCCCTTAACCGTCTTACGCCTCAAAATTCCCGTGACCGCAAACAACGTTGGGCGGTTAATTTTTACTAGCTCCTCTTTATAAAATACACCCTCAATATCCTCGCCATTTAGATCCTCAAGGTAAAAAGTTGGGGCATCGAAACCGGTATGCGATCTGACTTCCTTAATTACAAAAACCTCGTCCTTATGGGTTCCTTCATAACTTTTCCGAAAAACTTCTCCTGAAGTTTGATCACTACAAAGTCGCCAACGTTTAGCATGGGATCAGGTTTTCGCTGACGTTTCGTCACGACAATTGGAAAACGGTTGTCCCTTGTAATTTGGTCGGGAATAAGGCCATTTAATGCACTTGTTGGGGTGGCATTGATCCCGGCAACGACAGAATCAACCACGTCCACCCAATTATAGGTGTCGTTTTCGGTAAAATAGGCATAAAGGCGATCTTTGATTGAACGAATCTTTCTTTCCGCAGGGGCGCTTTTTGATTGGCCATTTGTAAATATTTGCACAATTTCGCGTTCCTTACAAAGCTTTCATTGATGCGCCGACAAACTCTTTACCCCGGTCTGTCGTTAGAAAATAGGGGGGATTCCCAATCTCACTACAAATTTCACTGTAACGTTCTTTTACCTCTTCGCATTTCTTTGTGAGCAAGGCTTAACATATGTCATTCGCGAAACAATCCACCACAACCAACAGGTACCTATAGCCCCTATTGCTCGTTTTTAGCTTTTGAAAATCGCCCAAGTCGGC